ATCATTTCATTTTAATAGCAGCTGTGCAAACTCACAAAATTCATTTTAATAACTCTACAAAAGCATAAATTATTTCATGTCCCAGACTTGAATGATTAGAGCTTTAAATGTTAAATACTCATGTGCCAACGGTTGACTGTATAATTTAACTTAAAGGAGTTGTGTCTTTCCATGGTTCCAGCCCTGATCCTCATTTCGATCATCAAAATAAAATATTTGTTTTCACATGACCACAGTTGGGGGGTGTAAGGGAATAGGAGGGAAAAAAATTCAGTTTTAACAGAATAACTTCCATTATGTCTCCAACAGGATCAGCCATTGTTTGAAGTAATACAGGAAGCTATGCAAAGACATATGCAAGGCATACAATTCCGTGAGAGAAATGCTGGTCCACAGATAGATCGGAACATGAAAGATGAAGGTACACAGCTCTGGCTAAAGATCTACTGATGGGGGGAATTCAGTGTGGTAATCATTGTTCATTTGACAAGTATTGGGAAATCTCAGTATGTGTTCATAAAAAAGGTTAACATAGCTCTGGTTTTATTTTTAGAGGAAAGAGAGTATATTCCACCGTTTAGCAGGCACTTGAAAGGTGCTTCTGATGGTTCCATGTATACTCTCCTAGGTTGTTCCCAGTTAGCATTCCCAAGAACTGAAGCTGACTAGCCTGCCCGAGTCACACAGCTGTTCAGTGACTGATCAGGATTGGGCCCAGAGGTCTGTCTCAGGAGCCCAGACTCTTATGAAAGACTTTCTTTTTTTAAAGATTTATTTGTAGAAAAATATAAAATCAATATATTCCTTTTCCCCCCAAAACAGGTAAGTTGTAATATGTTATCTGTGTGGTCCCTTTCTTACCAGAATGTGTATCATGACACAGATATACTTCTTAAATCTTTTTTTTAAACAATTGTATTGGCACTTAATCCACATATCACACAATTCACTTGTTTAGTCACATAAAGAAGAGTTGTACAATCATTACTACAAGCACTTTTAGAACATTTTTACCACCCCCCACCCCATGGTTAAATCACTTTTAAAATGAGTTGTGTAATCACCCTCAGTTTTGCAAGTGGTCCCTCCCCACTTACATCTCTATTGAGTTAATCATGTTCCTCATCTGATGATCCACAGCATCATTAGCCAACGCAAGACTGTTAATGATTTATTTCATTGTGTTTCTCATTCACCTCAGAGAGCCATCCAGTGGGGTTGTTGTTTGTTTGTTTATATATTATTTGTTTATTGTTTTATAAATCTTATGGTGCTTTATGTGCATTTAGATTTTAACTTTTTCATTTTAAAAGAATTAGAGGAAAAATAAAATAAAAGAACTGAAGACTCACAGGCAATTTCAAAAATGATACACAGGAGGGTGCTGTAAACTCTCCATGCCTACATGTTTTATAACTGTAGTTTGATATCAAAATCAGGAAAAAGTAATTGATGAAATGTGGGGGACCAGCCTCCACCACCGAATGGGTGCTAGGGAATGGTTGTGTAATTGAAGGGTAAATTAAAGACACTTCAAAAAAGGTATGCAATGGCTCACCTCCTTCATGAAGACTAGAATTACAGAGTGAGAGAATGTATTCTCGTAACAGGCTTATATCATCTTAGGCTAGCAAGCTACATTACACACATACGGAATAGGAAGGGGGTGTATTAGAAGCATACATGTAACAGGAAGGGGATGTGCTAGAGGCATACATGTAACTGGAAGGCACATAACAAGATGGGCAGGTTCTAGCCTGATGGAAGCTTGGTCGTCTCTGAACTGACTTGACCTTAAGTGTCCCTGAGTTCTTCTCCAGGAGAGCAATCTATGATCCCTACCAGAAGGAGTGGACCCTACTCAGGGTGGGCTGGTCTCTTGAGGGAAGACAATCTTCAGGCAGATAGCCTTCAACAGTTAACCTTCAAACGTATAGTAGCAACCATGTGCTGACAAGCGGCACGTTAAAATTGGCATTATTACGGGGGAACATTGTGGGGAACAACTTTTACTCAAGAGAATGTGACTGGGATGTATTTCTAACTCATGACCCTGAAGGCCTTCCTCCACCAGAATCTGCCTCCCAGACTCCTTCAATATGAACTTAGAGAATTTGTCCACGTACATGCTCTTCCCGGTTCTCAGTATCCCACAGTAAAATAGCATTATCTAGACTATAAACCTTACTCCTTTTCACCAGTTCTTACATTAATTCATTTGTGTCTGTGCAGTTTGATCCATATATGTTATTGCCATCGGGTCAGTTCTGACCCCCCAGTCCTTATGCACAACAGAACAAAATACTGCCTGGTCCTCCATCACCCTCACAATTGTTCCTATGCTTGAGCCCATTGTTGCAGCCATGGTGTCAATCCATCTCATGATCCCTGTATAGCTTCATGTAACCACCCCTACAATCAAGATATTGAGATGTTGTGTTAGCACAAAGGAGCTCCTTTGTGCTACCCCTTTCCTTCCAAGCCCCATCCCCTCCACACACTCCTGTTCAACATTTCTTTTCATACTTTCTTTACTTGGGTGAAAGTTGACATAGTTAGTTACCCAGACCCAATGTCCTCCTGTGGATTCTGACTCATAGCGACCCATTGTAGGGTTTGTGAAGCTGTAAATCTTTATGGAGCAGTAACCTCATCTCATTCCTGTGAAACAGATGATGGGTTTGAACCCTCACCCTTGTGGTTAGCAGCCAATGATTACTCAATAACACCACCAGGGCTCCTTACATAGCAAATTAGGTTCTCATTTAATAATTTTTTTAATAATCATTTTATTGAGGGCTCATACAACTCTTATCACAATCCATCTATCCATCCATTGTGTCAAGCACATTTGGACATTTGTTGCCCTCATCATTCTCAAAACATTTGCTTTCTACTTGAGCCCTTGGTATCAGCTCCTCATTTTGTTCATTTAATGATTTTTATACTGTATGTTCCATGACATTGGTTAAATTTTTCATAGTACCCTGGCCATCCTGGTAAATGTTGGCCATTTGGTCTCATATAGTTAGTTACTCAAGGACACACAGAGTCATGGGTGATACTATTTTATAAACCAATAGATTATTTGTTTGAAAGATTTCTTTCATTTCAATTTCAAGAGTATACTAGGGAATAATCTCAAGGCTTACTCCAGTCTTTCTTGTTCTAGTAAATCTGGACTTTTTTTCAGGAATTTTAATTTTTTAATATTTTCCTCATCTTCTATCCAGGACCTCCTATTATTTCCCA